TAGAAAGGAGAAGGAATGAATGGAGAGAGAGGGTGAGAAAAGAGAACAAGAATGTCTAGAGGGAAAAAAGATCTTTCACTAGGAGTGATGAACATGTGTTATCCCATCCATGAAGTAGTTAATTGAATTCTGCCAAACCTTTAGTAAGGTGGGCTTATTATTATATTTTGAATGCAATGTTGCGTCCGGAGACATACTAAATATGCATATGCCTCTCATATGGTGGTGAAAACGTAAGATTCTTTCCCGAATGATGAACTACCCCATATTTGTGTGTCAAGTGCTGCCACATAAAAATAGATCCTTGAAGGTTCCTTTTTTATATTTTTTTTATTATTATTTTTTTGCATGTTAAAGCAAACTCTTACACTCATTACCACGACATGCTCCTAATGGGGCTTAAACTCTGAACCTCCCCTTTGGGAAGAGAAATCGTACCATCCAAACTAGAAGCTTGGTGGTTTAAGCTAATTTAAAAGGCTCCACTTCCTTCCTGTGATTCTTTTGAGATACTAATTGTTAAATATAAGAATTGTGAGAGAACTCGGTCTATTTGTTCCCTATACCGAATTGATTTTTTGGCTTTTGGCGTGGGAAATAGGACACACGCACAAATTTGAGTGTCGACGTGGAGTGTCTTCATGAGTCATGACAACCCAAATTTTATGTGGGAGAGAGAGAGAAGCTGTATGTTTTGTCCTTTTTGTCACTTTTCTGTCCACATTTAATATCTTCTAATATGTTGTTCATGTATTCCTTGTTTTACTCGAGAAGATTCTTACGTCACGTTCTCCACATAGGCATGAACCAATCTCCTCATGCGATCCTCGTCCTTTGCTGGGACACTACAGTTTTGTATACTGAACATTAGCTCAAATTTCATTTGTCCTTCTATTGTTGATTAATGATATTATGTAAATTATGATTAATATGTGGTGCTCAAAATGTCGGTATCAATGTATCATAAACAGACACTGGCTGCAAACATGGATTATTAATGAATCCGGATTGGATGCGTTCTGTGAATCAGGTTTCTGTTTGTTAGAGGTCAGGAAACAAGTTGTCTGTCGGGTTTGCTTCCTCTTTACCCAGTATGCTCTTCCTCTGGACCAACTGTCTCTAGTCCCAGCTGTTTAATTTTGGAAAACTCCATTTTGCCCCGGACCCAATGTAGCTCCACCACTGTTTAATGTTCTAAACTTATTGTAAATCAAATTTTTTTTTTTCTTTGTTATAAGATTTTATTTACCCCAAAAAAAGGAAAAAAAAAAAAAAAAAATTCATGCTTCTAGTCACAATAGTTGTTGTTTCAAAGTACCTTTCAATTTTTTCTTGAACAATGGTGATACCAAATGCAAACTTATTAATTGCATGCATATCTGGTTAGTACATCTTCACTAGCTCAATGGTTATGGTGCCAAATGGCAAGCCATTTTCAATGAAATAGGAGGGTCTGAAAATGAACCATCCACAATCTGAACAAAAGTCCATTTGTTAGCTTCCCCAGTGAAGTGGACCCCATCCCAACTGATTGCAACAGAAGGGTCTTTGCATGACTTGGCCACTAACACTTGCTTCCCATTCACTGTAATCTTTGTTCCATATGCAAACTAAGGGTAAGGGATACTCAAATCCGGGCACACTCGGGGAGTTGTGTGTTTTGTCAATTAGGTCTCTGAATAATGCTCTATGTCATAATCATGTACCATGTAGATGTATAGACACACACATATACTTAACAAACTCCAAATTTAATAAGAAAGAAAATGTCACGCTCCAGATTTTGAAACCCGTGACGTGTAGGGTTTAGAGATTTAAGAATAATTAAGGTGGTTTAATTTCGTAAAATGAAGGACATTGTTTCAAAACATTCATATATTTCAAGTTCATATTTAATATATATATATATATATATATATTTAAAAATTAGTGTTTAAGAGAAGTAAATCAGTTTCCTTTGAACTTTGTGTGTATCGAAATCTTTGTAAATACACACTTTGTTCAAATTTAAGCAACATACCTACATATAATTTGGACTATCGAAAGAAAAAGAAAACATGTTTCAAATATAACACGAGATAGGTACATGTGTATATATACACACACACACACACACACACACACATATATATAAATTATAATATGTGTGTATGATTAAGGCCAGGGGCATGTGTCCCCCTCAACTTTTTCAAAATTATACTTTTGAATAATATTTTTCTAAAATTTTAATATTGCCCCCTTCAACTTTTTAAAAATTACACTTTTATTTGTATAATTCTTTAAAATTTTAAAATTGCCCCATTAACTTAAAAAAAAGGGCCCTTTTTTTGTGGTTTGATTTTGTGGGTTTTCTGGTTCTTTTCCATATAAATAGGCAGATGAGGATGCAAGTGAAAAGATTGAAAACACACAGGAGAAAAAATAATTGATGGCGAACAAAGAAGCAGAAGTTCAGGAGGCTCGAGATTAGAAATAATTGGGAACTTTGTGCATGATTCAGTTCCAGTTAGGTGTATATGATCTGTAGATATCATTTAATATTTTGTGCTCTAATTGCAATGGTTGAGAAGTGGGAATAATTTTTTTTTCAGCCAACTTGCTCTCAGTTTAATTGAGAGGTTTGGATTATTTTCCTTTGAAAGCTTCATGGTCAAAGTTTGGATTTGTCGATTCACTTGGTTCTCTTACTTTGGTGATCAAGATTGTCCCAAAGCAAATTAATTTATCGAACTTTGTTACCACTAAAAGTTTAATTGTTCTTATGATGGGTTTGAAAGAATGACAAGAATAGAGAAAATGTTTGTTCATTGCATTAAATTCTAACCATTGCATTTTTTTTTTTCAATTTATTTATTAATACAAAGAAGGTTTAAAAATCTTAACTTGATTAAAATGTTCTCTCTTGAGGGGTTGACTGTCCCAAATTTAAGAGTTTAAAAATCTTACTCGTAACTCACTATTCGAAAATGACAAACTTTAACATAAATGTTACTCCTGTAACCCCTATTTATAGACTAATCATCTCAGATTTAGTTTCCATGTCCATCCAATCTATCAATTTCTACAATGTTTTAGAATTCTCTCTATAAATTTCCATTAAAATGTACACGAGTAAGCTTAAACATAAATGTGAAATGGGACTCCTATTTATAGACATCCTTTACTATGATAATTAAGATACAAACTCTATTCTTCTACAATATTCTTGAATCTACAAATTTCATATTTAGTTTCCATAACTCTCCATCTAAATATATACATATTTAGAAGCTTTCCATTCTTCTACATTTTTCTCCAATCTACCAATTTCTATCATCTCTTCAATGTTTTAGAATCCTCTCTTTATAAATCTCCATACTAATTATTTAATCTTGTATATTAGGTTTGTGAAATGACAATATATAAATCACAAGAAAACAAAAATCGTATATGCTTTGTCGAATTTTTAAGAAAAGAAAAAAAAAAATGCATTATGACTAAACATATCCGTATTTTTCCATTTTAATTTTTTTTATGCCAAATTTTTAATTTTTTTATTTTTAACAAAAAAAGAATTATATCCTACGTTTACAATCATGTATTTTCCCACCTTATTTTACTAATTATTCTAGCAGTACATTTTGCTAAAACTTCAAAATTTTTGAACTTGTCTCCTGTAATTGCGGAACAATAATCAAACCAAGCAAGACGTACACTTCTTCTTGTTGAACTCCACACTCACAGCAATAGAGAGGACCATGTGGTACATAGTGAGTTATTATTTTTGTACATATAATACTAGATGTAACATTGTGATTTGGCCTTTTCGTTAAATCTGAACAAATATAATGATTGATATATGATAGTATATAAATACAAATATAATATGATTATATTAATGAGATTGAACTATTAACAGATCATATTAATTCTGATTCAAATCCAATTTGTTAAATTAAGGGTATTGAATTTGGATGTGATCGTTTAACTCTATTTCTAATCCAATTTGTTAAACTAAGGGTATTGAATTTGAATGTTAACGGGATATATAAGTTATTTTTGTTAAATTTTAATATATATTTTTTTATAAATATTTTATGACAATCAAATATCAAAAAATAAAAAAAAAATTTAAAAATATTTTATATCCAAATAAACGGCACAGTACATTAATTGTAAATAATAATAAGAAAAATCATGCTTCTAGTCCCAACAGGAGTTGTTTTCAATTGTTTCTTCCACAATGGTCATACCAATGCAAAATTGCAATAATGAACAAGAAGACAATTGAGAACACGGCATCATGTTCTTCTTTTTATTTTTTGGAAAATTTGGAAAGATTAAATAGACACGCACTCATACTTTTATTTATTGAGACTCGAACCCGAGTCAATGGTTACGGCGGCTATGACATGCGGTTTTTAACAGAATACTCACAGTTGAATTATTAAAGTTTAGGTGGTACATGGTGGGTTATAATTTTTGTACATATAATACTAGATGTAACATTGTGATTAAGGCTTTTTCATTAAATCTGAACAAATATAATGGTTGATATGTGATAGTATATAAATACAAATATAATATTTCTTCTGTCTCATATTAATCGTTCATTTCGAATGCTACCGCGCTGGCGAATGCTACCGCGCTGGTATTGGAATTTGAATCGCCGAAGTTGTATATAGCCGGGAAATCACATGGCTTATTGGTTAAGATAGTGTTTGGGACTGAACATACCACCACCAGAGTAGGAATGATATTCAAGCAAAAGGACAGAAAGGGAAGGCGGGACAAACTGTCACAGTCCCACAGTTCATGGAATATGATAAATTGGAGTAAAATTTAGTATTCTTTAATCGATCAATATTTTAGTATTCTTTAATCGATCAATATTTTTTATTGTTAGATTAATTGTAAATAAAAAAAAAAAAAAAAAAAAAAAATCATGCTTCTAGTCACAATAGGAGTTGTTTTCAACTGTTTCTTCCACAATGGTCATGCCAAATGCAAAATTGCAATAATGAACAACAAAACAATTGAGATCATGGCATTAGTACCATTAATAAATTACATATGTATCTAGTTTGTACATGGGATCTTTTTTTTTTTTTTTTAAAGCAAACATGCATTCATGTCTCTACTGACTCGTGCCCTCTACTAAGACTCGAATCCGAGTCAATGATTATGGCGCTTACGGCGTGCCATTTTCAAAGGCATAGGAGGGTCAGAAAATGAACCATCCACGATCTGATCAAAAACCCATTTGTTAGCTGCCTCTGTGAAGTGAACCCCATCCCAACTGATTGCAACAGAAGGGTCTTTGCATGACTTGGCCACTAACACTTGTTTTCCATCCACTGTAATCTTTGTTCCACATTCCATATTCTTGTTGTAGTTATATTTTCCCCCATGACCACAGCAAGCTCTCAGTGGGTGTTCAAATCCTGTAATTTCATGATGCAGACTAAGGGTCAGGGATACTCGAACACGGACACATTCAGGGAGTTGTGTGCTTTGTCAATTAGGCCTCTCAATAATGCCCTATGTCATAATCATGCACCATATAGATATATAGACGTACATATATACCTAGCATAGTCCAAATTTAATGTCCTTTGTGAAGAAAGAAAATGTCACGTTCCGGATTTTGAAACCCAATACGTGATGGGTAGGGTTTAGGGATTTAAGAATAATTAAGGTGGTTTAATTTTGTAAAATGAAGGACATTGCTTCAAAACATTCATAAATTTAAAGTTCATATTTAATATTTTAAAATAAAATTTAGTGTTTAAGAGATGTAAATCAGTTTCCTTTGAACCTTGCCTATATTGAAATCTCTGTAAATATATTTTTCTGAGAATATTCATTATGTTTAAATTTCAGCAACATACCTACATATAATTTGAACGATGGAAAGAAAAAGAAAACATGTTTCAAATATAACATGAGATAGGTACATAAATACACATATATATAAATTACAATATGTGTGAATGTACCAATTAAGGCCAGGGGGCATGTGCCCCCAGCAACTTTTTCAAAATTATATTTTTGTATAATAATTTTCTAAAATTTTAATATTGCCTCCTTCAACTTTTTTAAAATTACACTTTATATGTATAATTCTTTAAAATTTTATAATTGCCCCCTTAACTTTAAAAATAATTTATTACATTGTGCCCCTGAGCATAATTTCTAGTTCTATCCATGTGTATGTAACTATCAATATGTAAAATACCGACCTTTCGAAATAAATATGTAAGATACTAAATTTAAAGATGAAACATAAATACGTACCATGCTTCTTTGCTTGACTTATGAGTTCATATTTTACTGAATAGACGTCAACGTATGTGATTGCAGCTAGTGGAAGATCCTTTCGAAGTTGGACCACAATTTCCTTTAATTTTCTATTGAAATATTGGGCCACCTCATTGAATGGACTTGCACATCCGAACTTATCAACTTGATCGCCTCCAGGCAACAAACTGTTCAAGACATACGGTAGACACCCAATAGGACCCGTGTTATGTATCCAATATGACTTACCTCCATGACCATATATATCCTACATAAGACAAGCACACTAATTAATGTTCCTTAATTTATTTTAATCAATAAATCATGTATACCAAATTAACAAGCAATGTATTATTAAAAAAAAAAAAAAAAAGTATAGGGATACAATGGAGCCGAGAAACTCGAGTCAATCATATTTATATTAGACTTAGGGCCAGATTCAGCTCATTTACTATTCAATATATTTAGACTCTACTCATTTAATTAATTTTGAGGTGTGATGGTGTTGCCCAAGTGGTAAAAGGGCAGGCCTTAAGTGTCCCTATCTTATAATCCTAGGTTTGAATCTTCTTCCTCCTTAACTTCGCTAATTAGTAACTCTCCTTGCCAAGGGGAAAAAAAAAAAAAAAAAAATTTAACTTTGAATTCAAACTTGATTACAAACCAAAAATCAATATTGATAAAGAAAAAAAAAAAAACAAAAAATCTACTATAAAACCCTAAACAAACTTTAGAAAATGAGTTAATGAATTGAATAAAGATAGGTTTTGTAGTTAAGTAATATTTTTTCGTAGATGGTTCAAGTCTCCATATGTTGGATGGGCCCTACTCGACACTAATTTGACTTCGGGTTAAAGTTGTCAACCTGAACCCGATAATTTCGGGTTAGGTGGATTGATTGAGTCGATCTAGGCTAGGCCGGTCACTTAAAAATTCAATATTAAGTGAACTATATTAGAACAAGTGAGTCGATTAAAAAGATAAGAATTGGGTCAAAACTCAAGTGATGATTGTAACATCCAAACTGCAAGTCTTCACGTGCTAGGAATGGGGTCACCTTATACACATGAGATTTACCTTAGCCATAAGTTCAAAAGACGGATGATTGTGAGGGTTTCATGTCATTTAAAAGATAAATTTATTTGCGATAATAAAAAGCATCACTCACCTTAATTGTAGTTTTGAATTGTTCCAATGCATCAGGAACATAAGCTCTAATTTGATCCATCGTCATATTAAGAAGATAACCAGCCCATAGATCATTCTGTCCAATATCAAACGTGTACAAAGCTCGAGAAAAATCTTCAGTCTTCGGTAAAAGTCCCTCGAAAACTCCTCCTAATATAATCACAGAAAATTATTAGTTCTCAACGGCTCAGATCTTTTTCAAATGAAATTTATAAATGGAGTAGTAGGAGATCAGTGCCTTGGCTACGAAAGATTTGAGAACTATGTTGGAAGTCATTGTACTGATGAAGTTGAACATTCAATGAAATGGGACTAAAACCACCCTGATGAAGACTTATGTTTTGGGGTCTTATGGTTGAACCGGCAGTGGCAAAATTGGCCCCATGAGTGAAGTTGGAGCCCACTGAGTCAAGATAGGCACTCAGATATGGTAGTCCCAAGCCCTCAGCTATAAAAAGCCACAATCACACTGGGTAATATTAGAGGCGGATAAATAATTCGTGAATTCAATTCGTGATTACACGATCCGATTCGATTCAATCCGATTTATGATCAACCCTAAGTAATATCAAAATCAATCAATAAGCACATGACAGGTCTAAACTCATTGATATATAATAATATGTACAAATTGTGATAATCATAAAATGTTACTATGACATAATCACATTAAACAACTACTTTTTGTTTCACTTTCATTATTCATTATTGGCTCACGCCACCTTGAAAACATTGCCATTTTGTCAATAAGTCATTTATATATTTATTTATTATTGTTTATCTTTTGGTAATTTAGATGCTCAAGTGATCTTGAAAACATAGTGATTTTGTTGAGGAGTTATTTCTAAATTGTTTTATCTTTTATTAATACTATACACTTCAAAACTTGTACCTAAATAATGATTTAAAGTTTGAAAATCTATAATTTCTACTTATTTATGTAAATTGAACAATTCTAATTCATTAATATTTCTAGTGTCATAATGATACGAGTTTCCTACTCATTTGAGTCATTTCTAGTTTTCGATTCGCAATCACTTAATATATGTCTGCACATTAATCATTTTCTTTTAAATATATATAGGGGTGACCACGGATCAGATCGAATCGGACTGGATTAGATCAATCCTAATTTGATCCACTCCCAACGGATTAGGCAAAACTTAATCCACCACCGATCCATTATCCCACGGTTCGGATTCATGTAAAAACGGATTGGATTGGATTGAATCCGCAAATTGAATTTTATCTAAATTATCTATTATTTATTATTTATTTGTCTTTTAACCATAATCCAATGGATAAAATTTTAACTTATTTATATTAATTCATATATTTAAATAAATTTTAACTAATACATTCTTAAAATAATTAAATTATCATTAACTAATATATTATTTGAAAAAATATATATATTTCACAGATCGGATCGAATCGAATCGGACTTACGGATCAGATTGAATTTTTAACGGTCCAATCCGTGAGTTACGGATTCGAGTTTTTGGATTCGCTACCGATCCGTGAGTGTAGCAATCCGATCCGATCGGATTCGTAGGTTCATGAATTATTTGTCCACCTTTATATATCCCCAAAAAGATAAGGAATTTTCAATAAATGTGTTATGATATATGATTTGTGTTATGATATAATAGTCAATACTTTATTATTTGAAAACTCCTCATCCTTTTAGGGGCGTCGTTATGTACTACATATACCTTCAAATGTCATGAAATGCATAATGTGGCTATTCAATTTCTGTGCAATACTCCTAGTCAACCAAATAATTCTAAAATTCACACACACACACACACACACACACACACACACACACATATTAATTATTATCGAAGTAATAACACAATAGAATATTAACCACTAGATTGTTACTCCGTAATAAATATATATAAAAAGGTCTAAATGTACTTACCTATAAAATCAACAATTAGACGTCCATCGGAGTATCGTCCGGCAGGGCGATGGAAATAGGACTCCCCATAAGGTGGAGGAACCTGGCCGAATGCTGCAGACAAGCCGCCGGTGTCGGAATTTGAATCGCCGAAGTTGAATATTGCCGGGAAATCACATGGCTTATTGGCTACGAAAGTGTTTGGTACTGAATATACTACCACCAGAGCAACAATGATATTCAGGCAAAAGATATTCAACCAAAAGGAGGATTCCATGAGAGAGCTAGAGTAGGAGGTGGATGATCAAGGCTTAAAAATGAAGAAAGAAAAATGTGCATGTATGGACTATAAAGGACAGGAGATCCAAGATTTAAGACATAAAGGGTAGGTAGGACAAACTGTCACAGTCCACAGTTCATGTGGTTGCATCGGCATATGCTTATTATATAAGCAAATTTACCAAAGAGCTTTGGTCCGATACTGGAATTTGACACATTGGAGTAAAGTTTACAGGGAAATATGTGTCATTTCATTATGACTCACGTCCCCAAAACATAAAATAAATCAACTAGCAAGGCTTTTGAAAGACGAGAGGAGACTAATAACTTAGTTTACAGGGGCATATGTGTCATTTCATTATGACTCATGTGACTTGTTCAGTGAACTCGTGCAAGAAGGCTGAAGCATGATTGGGACTCGCCGGCGTTCATCGAGCCACCTCCAGAGCCGCCGGATCGTGCCGATTAGGGCTCTGTTCCCTGCTGTGTTATTACACCGGACGTGGGTATGGTTTAGACAAAGATTTTTTTGTTTCTCTTTAAAAAAAAAAAAAACTGCAATGTGAACAATTTTGCAAACCAAGATATTGAATCATTAAGTTTAGAGAAGGCATATTATAGATTGCCATGGGACATTGATTTTGGCTCGCTATCCTTCCATAATTTTGGCGTCCGTTTTGCAATGTTTTAGAGAGGCTCTTGATGATTTCTATATAATTCATAGAATAGATACGTGTTTTTCAAGTTTAATTCATTATGTTTGAATTTCATGTTTTTCAGAACTGAATGTAGAAGAGTTCTTAGTTTGATGATGTTTTTTCTTAAAAAAATGGCCCTTTTTTGTGGTTTGATTTTATGGGTTTTCTCTGGTTCCTTTCCATATAAATAGGCGGATGAGGATGCGAGTGAAAAGGTTGAAAATGCCGAGGAGAAAAAACAATTGATTGCGAACAAAGAAGCAGAAGTTCAGGAGGCTCGAGCAGCATTATATTCAAACCTAGAAATAATTGGGAACTTTGTCCACGATTCAGTTCCGGTTAGCAACGATGAGGTAAATGTATGATTTGTAGATATCATTTACAGATATGCAATTACTGGATCAATTTATTTCTCTAAATTTCTTTATAATTTTGTAGGTAGACAATACTATAATTCGATCTTGGGGTGAGAAGCGTTCGGGACTAAAGCTGAAAAATCATGTTGAGCTTGTTGAACTTCTTGGAATTGTAGATACTAAGAAAGGTATTAAATCTGTTCTTTGATAAAGTGAGTTCTGCTTAAGTGAAAATGATTATGATTTTGTGGTATTACTATAAACTGCTTGTTCAAGAAATAATGTTTGTATTATCCTTTCTCCGTATTATTATGATTTCACTATCTGTTAATGATTTATTCAATTCATTTAATATTTTGTGCTCTAATTGCAATGGTTGAGAAGTGGGAAGATTTTTATTCAACCAACTTGCTCTCAGTTTAATTGAGAGGTTTAGATTATCTTCCTTTGAAGGCTTCATGGTCAAAGTTTGGATTTGTCGATTACTATTTCCATGGTTATTCACTTGGTTCTCTTACTTTGGTGATCTGGGGTTGTCCCAAAGCAAATTAATTTATCGAACTTTGTCACCCCTAAAGTTTTATCGTTTTCATTATAACTATGATGCGTTGTGCCCTTTCAAAATAATAATTGAAATGACAAGAATAGAGCATATGTTTGTGCACTAAATTCTAACAATTACATTTTTTTTTTCAATTTATGTGTTGTCCCTCTGCTAATGCAATGTGCTTGATACATTTAGGTACTAATGTAGCAGGAGGTAGGGGTTACTATCTGAAAGGAGATAAAGCTCTAATTAATTTTGGAAATGAGTTTCTATATAAACGGGAGTATACCGCATTGCAAACTCCACTCTTCATGAGAAAACCTATGATGGCGAAGTGTGCTCAATTAGCACAATTTGATGAAGAACTATACACGGTAACATCCATGTCCAAAACCTCCTCTAATTGCTGCTCAGCCATTTGTTCTATCATGTAAATCTTTCTGTGTAGAAACTCGTATAGGAATCCACTTTATGAAATGCACAGAGGCAGGTATACCATCTCCACATGCAGCAAGTCTGAACTGCAGCATAAGGGAGAGAAATGTCAAATTGTGTTGATTTGCCAATAACTATAACACGAAGGCTATGAAGCACATTATTTATCCTACATATACTATATATTCATTGCATTATATTCAATTTATTTTGCTAATGTGTTCTTTTAAATGAGTTATCATTGCATCATTGGTTTGTCTTAAGTCCTTTGGTTTGTCAAATGCTGGTATGCATAATAAATTTGATATATCTTCCTCAAAATGAAGACAGAACATGCTAACTTGGTAATGTTTTTCTAGTCTGCCGCAATTTGAGCATACCTGATAATTGTTGTTCAATAGGTAACTGGGGAGGGAGAGGACAAATATCTGATTGCTACAGCTGAACAGCCACTCTCTGCTTATCATGCAGATGATTGGATCCAACCTTCAGAGCTACCTTTAAGGTTATTGCAATCTTTGTGAACTATAGTTGTATTGGTGGCTACGAAACCTTGGTGTTTTTCCCGTGTCTCTGTGCACGATAATGGTGGTTAGTTTTTACTGATTAATATTATATGGTTTGTTAGGTATGCAGGATATTCGTCTTGCTTCCGTAAAGAAGCTGGCTCGCATGGCCAGGATACACATGGGATTTTCCGAGTACATCAGTTTGAGAAAGTGGAGCAGTTCTGCATTACCAGCCCAAATGGTAATGAGTCCTGGGACATGCTAGAGGAAATGATCAATAACTCTGAGGAGTTCTATAAGATGGTATGTGGTTTTCCTTCTTTCAGAATCTTATGAAACTTATGCTTGCAATTTTTAGTTCTTCAATTATTCCTTTCGAGAATTCTTTTTGTCTTTTTCTACCTTCTTCTTTATATTAGTTTTTAGGATGCTATTATTTGTGCTCACTCTCCAGTTATGAAGATGCATAGATTTTTTAAATTTTCAATATATAGTGTATGGTAAGTATTCTCTACAAAATGACAACCTTTACTCCTGTTGAGAATCTGATAATTTTCTCCGTTGCAGCTTAAGATTCCCTATCAAGTTGTATCTATTGTTTCTGGTGCCTTGAATGACGCAGCAGCAAAGAAATATGATTTGGAAGGATGGTGTTTCCGGCATCAAATACTTACAGAGAGCTTGTCTCCTGCTCAAACTGTACAGACTATCAGTCCAGAAGACTAGAGATTCGATATGGACATAAAAAGGTTGGTGTTTGCTCTTTGTTCTCATCAAATGAACCAAGTCATAATCTGTTGAAAATTCCCCATATACCAATTATTAAGTAGCTAGCCTCTCTCTAAAGAATCAAAAGAGTGGTGAATCTGTTCTTGTGATTAGGCAGATAGAACAAATGCATTACATAGCAAGGACCAGGTTTTTTTTTGGCCTGGAAAACTAGGGAGGGGGAAAGGGGACTCAAAACACGGCACACCTAGTTGGGGAGCTGGGTGCTCTACCAACTAGTCCACTGGGTATTTTCCATAGCAAGGACCAGAATTGAGTCATGTCAATTGGAGAAGCATCTATGATCCACCTTTCAGTACTTGCTATAACTTCTAAATTTTTGAACTTGTCCCCTGTAATTGCGGAACAATAATCAAACCAAGCAATATGTACACTTGTTGAACTCTACACTCACAGCAATAGAGAGGACCATGTGCTGCATTCTCGAGAATTATCAAAGGGAAGATGGTGTTGAGATATCGGAAGTATTGCAACCAAAAATGTTTGGAAAGACATTCATGCCCTTCCAGACAAACCCTACCAAAGTAACAGAAGGGAAGGATTGTGTGAAAACCCTTCCTGCGAAAATGTAGCAATAATGAGCATCCCTAAGTTTTAAAACTTTGGTTTTGTTTTGTTTGGCTGTGTTTGGCGTCATGGAATTGGAGCCTTGGAATCGGAGAATTTTTTGTTTTATTTTTAGAGTTGCTTTTCTCCAATTCCATTTCCAATTCCCCACTCATTTATTTTGGTCCAGATTAATTATATATACCCTGCAGTATTGAGCTAGAAATTTCCTTTTGGTATGTGTGCTAGTTGACAATTGTGCTTTATATGCCCAATTGAGTTAATGAATTTTATAATTACTAGTAGGTTGGATATTATGGTTATACACTTGTATTTACTTTTTTTATATTTGGCACTAAACCTGTGAACGTACCAAGACTTGCTATAGCTTGTAAATTTCTGAACTTGTCCCCTGTAATTGCAGAAAAATGATCAAAACAAGCAATATGTACACTTGTTGAACTCTACGCTCACAGCAATAGAGAGTACTATGTGCTGCATTCTCGAGAATTACCAAAGGGAAGACGGTGTTGAGATACCAGAAGTATTGCAACCGAAAATGTTTGGAAAGACATTCATGCCCTTCCAGACAAACCCTGCCAAAGCAGCAAATGGGAAGGATCGTGTGAAACCCTAACTTCCTGTGAAAATGTAGCAAGCAAGATCGTGTGAAACCCTAGCTTCCTGTGAAAATGTGGCAATATCATGTGAAACCCTCCCTGCGAAAATGTAGCAATATCATGTGAAACCCTCCCTGCGAAAATGAAGCAATGATGAGCAGCCCTAAGTTTAAAAGTTTGGTTTTGTTTTGTCTGGTTGTTTGGCGGCATGGAATTAGAGCCTTGGAATTGGAATTGGAAAAAATTTTGGTTCAATTTTCTGAGTTGATTTTCTCTAATTTCCAATTCATTTATTTTGGTCCAGATTAATTGTATATTCCCTCCAGTATTGAGGTTGAAATTTGCTTTTGGTATGCATGCTAGATGACTATTGTGCTTGATATGCCCTATTGAGTTAAATGAATTTTATAATTACTAGTAGGTTGGATATTATGGTCATACACTTGTATTTACTATTTTTTATATTTGGCACTAGACCTGTGAACGGATTGGATAGGAGGAAGTGGATGCCTTTTGTCATTTTGTTTTTCTTTCATGTTTCTCATGAAAAATTGGCTTCAGTTTCTTAATTATCAAATTCAGTACAAAAAAGTGGGGGTGAGTTTCTTGCTAAGGGGGAAAAAAAATCATCCTGCATTTTATCTAAGTTGGTTTATATATATAAAAAAATGAAGTAATTTAACTTTTTTTTCTTCCCTTAGTTTTGTGTTTGTGTTTTCGCATCAAATAGTTGGGTATTTTATTACTCAATAGGCAAATGTAAATGCAAATGCATCAGGTTGGTTACTCTAGTTGTCCTTGGAACCGACTTTGAGCCTCAGCACCTCTAACATTCTAATCTAATATAATTTTTCCCTAATATATATATATATATATACACACACACATATAAATGTTGATAATTGTTACAAAAACAAACTGCCAACTAAAAAAGAACAAAAGAGAATTCCTTTATTATCCCTGAGTTTTTTTTAAAAAAAACTTAGCTTTGCTTAAAAGGAATTCCCACAATATGGAAAATGCCAAAAGAATTTGGCTTCGTAGCCGAGAGGGAAATGCCAAAAGAATTTGACGTGTTGAAGATCTTTTTAACTCTTTTGGAAAATGTATTCAACTCTACGTTTGATCATGAAAAATATGGAATGTTGTTTTTTCACGCACCTCCAAAATTATTCATATGCCCATTTTTTAGTTGATATATTTTTTTTTTTTTAAAAAAAGAATGTATGCTTATTTAAAGATATATCATATACACGTACTTAGATAGTCCAGTGATTAGTTTCTTTCGTAAATTTTGGACTCTCTACATTTATTAATTTAATAAATGTAAGGTGTAAATAATTTTTTTTAAAATAATAAATGTTGAAGTGATAACATTAATGAAAAACAGATGAAAGTGAATTAATCCTTGTCTTTATCCACAAAGAGACCTGTGGTTTTGTATCATTATTCATTAGTCATCAAGTAAAATTACAACTTTTTTATTTTCTCATTACTCAAACTAAAATTACAACTTTTTATTCTCTTTATAAGAGCCTATGAGACACAGACACGTAAGCATCACAAAGTCTCCGCGGTGTCCGACAAGCGACACCTGTATTGACCGACAGTTTTTCACTTTTTCACAACTTGCACCTCCGACCACCAAGAAGTTAGGAAGCGGACCTCCGATTGTCGACTGACGACGAACACAAAGGACATGTCATCGACTCATCATCATCATCATCACGCCGTTAGCTCGCAAACTCACGCCGTTATATAGCCGTCACCGTCCTCATCCCAAATCATTAATAATTCAACGCTATAATGCGCTTCACATCATCCCAACCCAAACCAGCAGTTAGAGATCATGAAAATCTTCGCTTTCAGCTCTCTCTGCTTCTTCTTCTTCTTCACTCTGTCCCTCCACAGGTACACTCAAATCTCGTCTCATCAATTTGGGTTCCTTAATTGCTCGCGCACACACATTAGTTCTTGTGTTTATTAATGCATTTTCTTGTTGTGGCTAAATTTTTTCTTGATTTGTTCACACACCCATGTTCTGAATTTCTATTTGTGATTCTAAATCGACTTCACACACTGACACACACATACAGACACAAGTTCTTGTGTTTATTAATGCATTTACTTGTTGTGGCTAAATTTTTTCTTGAATTGTTCACACACCCTAAATTGACTTCACACACACAGACACACAAGTTCTGGTGTTTTGTAATGCATTTAGTTGTTGTGGCCAATTTTTTTCTTTGAATTGTCACACACCCAGTTCTGAATTTTTGTTTGTGACTCTAAATTGACTTCACACACATACACACACGCAAGTTCTTGTGTTTTTTACTGCATTTAGGTGTTGTGGGTATTTATTTATTTTTTCTTTTTGTGAACCAAATGATGAAAATACATGATTTTACCCATTTTCAGGGTATTATCTGTAAATCATTCTAGCTCGCCTCCAAGAGGTTGGAACTCTTATGATTCCTTTTGCTGGACCATCTCTGAAGAAGAGTTCCTGCAAAATGCAAATCTTGTTTCTCAGCGTTTACATGTTCATGGATATGAGGTCTTTAAATTTAACTTTTAACCATAATTTTATTAATTTACAATTGGCTATTTATATAGTTAAGTCTTATTGCAAAGTAAGAGTATACAAAAAAATCATTTGATATTGTGGCTAATTATATATATATATATATTCACTTTTCTCTTTTCTCTCCTGTGATTCCATGTAGTATGTTGTGGTGGATTACCTATGGTATAGGAGAAAAGTGAAGGGTGCTTACCCTGATTCTCTTGGATTCGATGTGATTGACGAATGGGGGAGGATGGTTCCTGACCCGGGTAGATGGCCTTCAGCAAGTGGTGGGAGAGGGTTCACTGAAATAGCTAATAAAGTTCATAGCATGGGTTTGAAATTCGGGATTCATGTTATGAGAGGTATAAGTACACAAGCGGTCAATGCAAACACTCCTATCTTTGATGTTACAACGGTATTGCTCCTTTTTTTATTTCGCTCATTCAGACTTGTGTACATTTAAAATATATGCAGATTTCTTATTAAATATGTTTGGATTGTTTAATTCTTCAAGTTTTTGAGTCCACAAGAAAAGATAATGCTATAGAAGGAAATTCAGATAATTTCAATGGAAACGAAAAATTAGCTTTAATGACTATTGCTTATTTTTTATTTTCTATTTTTCATCAGGGAAAAGCTTACGTAGAGAATGGCAGGCAGTGGTATGCAAAAGATATAGGGTTAACGGAGAGGAAGTGTGCATGGATGTCACATGGTTTCATGAGTGTAGATACCACGCTGGGAGCTGGAAAAGCTTTCTTGCGGTCACTCTATCAACAGTATGCTGACTGGAGTGTTGATTTTGGTAAATTGAGACTTGCCAGCTGAAATTATTCTGTTTGGTCTAGATTTACTACTGCAGCACATCACATTCTAAAGTACAACATTTAATTAGGGTACACATGGAGTCATGGACTTACCAAGGTAACAAACTAATTTGGTTGTACCTAACACTGGAAATGACTATATAAACGAATAATCATCTTTAGGATATCAGTTATGATGGGCTCATTTTCTTTAATGATGCCTTATGTGGGAAGTCTTTTTTCCTTCGAATGCTTCGGAAGCGAATAATAGTACCATTCTACTTTTGTGGGATGTTTAAACACACTTCAGAAATCAATGCCTTAACCTGTCTTGAAGATAAGGAAGCAGTGTACCATTCCAGTTCAATTAAAATGAGTCCACCATGACCATTAACATTTAATTTTAGCACCAACAAATGCTTGTATTTATCTCAATGATGAAAATCCTCAAGTGACTTTAAGCAGTATGTCCAATTTTCTGCCCTTCAGCTCTATTGTTTTTGCTAAGTTACTCACACACTGAACTCACGCCCACACCCACTATTGCTCCTAAAGAGACTTGAACCTTAAAACTTCCATTTGGAAGGAGGAGGACATATCACTTGAGCTAGAAGCTAGATGGTTCTCGTCTCTGTTAATCAACTCTATAATTTGATAACAGATAGATCTTAGCGATCCAATTTATATTCAGTTCCTACTAAGTGATAGCTTCTGTTTTCTTTCACAGTGAAAAATGACTGTGTATTTGGGGACGACTTGGATGTAAATGAGATACGCTATGTGTCACAGGTAAATATTTTTCCTAACATAATTTGGTAATACTATGGCTTAGATGTTTTGTGTAGGAGAACTGATACGTACTCAGGAAACTTCAAAGTGAAAAAGATAATATATCAAGTATCTTTCTACAGGTTTTAAGGGGGCTTGACCGTCCCATTCTGTATTCCTTGTCTCCTGGAACTAGTGTGACACCAACCATGGCAAAGGATATACATCACCTAGTCAACATGTACAGAATAACAGGTGATGACTGGGATACATGGGGAGATGTTGCATCTCATTTTGATGTTACAAGGTAGATAGAACGTTCATCACTTAAAATAATAGTATGCCTGCCCGATTTATCTGCTCTCTTATTCAATGACTGCTTGTTTTCGTTGTGTTCATAATGTTTAACCAAGAACTTTCCAGTTCAGATTTCAAATTTGCTCAATGTTTTCCTTTATTTATTTGGTGCTTCTTTTCCTTTTCTTTAGTTAACTTAATGTTTTCCATTTTTAAATCAGGGACTTCGCTACTGCTAATATGATAGGAGCTGAGGGCTTGCTGGGGAATTCTTGGCCTGACTTAGATATGCTACCACTGGGTTGGCTTACTGATCCAGGTGAGTCATATTTTGTAGTAAAAATTCTCAACCATGACACATTGAAGGGTTTGGTAATAAGAAGGAATGTACAAGAAAAATGCTCTACTCTCTCAGTTTGCAGGGAAATGTAGAATATTTTATGCGGAAAATCTCAAGTTTGCATATTGCAGCACAGAGCACTACCGAATGAAACTGTGAATTTAACTCTTGGTTTATCAGTGAAATGCTTAACCCTTGTACTTTAAGAGGATTAGTATGATTGAATGGAGCCACCGTGTCTTTATTTGATTGATAAAGCCACCATCTCACATTACAACATAGAGTACTGTTATGTATAGATCCATGTATTCAGATTAGAGGGTGTTGATGATTGAATCAATAATTTCATTGTTGCATTATCACGTTTCTGTTAGAATTAGATTCTGTGACGAGTGATCTCCCTTTCTTCTGAGATATGGATTCGTCTAATCAATTAGATTCCGAGGGGAAAGAAGGTGATGATTCTGATAGTTCTTTGGATTTGTTGAATGATCAGGTCAAAGTGATTCTCGAACTGAAATAGCAATTGAAGAAATTCCGCACACTTAATTCTTCATTAATTTAAATTTCGGTATAAAAGTTGTCACAAGACCAGTCCCACCGAACGACTTTTACCCAACAAATGATTGATTTTGAGCTTATGGCTTGGAATTCTGAATCATATTTGTTGGATGACATCGTGTTCTATTTTATTTGATATTCAAGAAGAAGGGATGAAAGCCACTATTAAATAGATATTTGTGATTAATAGGTTCAAACGATGGTCCACACAGATATGGTAAACTTTACCCAAACGAGCAAAGAACTCAGGTAAGTGAATATGAATACTAATGAGTTAGTTATTACATACTTTTCAGGTTCAAATGACTGAGTACCATTTTTGAACCCTTGGATTTTCTTTTTGCAGATGACTTTGTGGTCTATGGCCAAGTCTCCTCTCATGTTTGGAGGGGATATGAGAAGGCTTGATGAGTTCACGTTGCATCTCATCACGAATCCCACTCTACTGGAAATAAACTCTTTCAGCTCTAACAATATGGAGGCAAGTGAACCATTTTCATTATAATTCCTTACCGGAAATTTAGACAGTCATGGGATACTATTTTGTTGCGTACAGTTTCCCTATATTACTGCTGGTCTCCAATCTAGGAACCAGGGTCAGAGCTGGCAATCAATAACACTAACGGATGATAGTGCACCAGAAACACATTTTATGGGTCTCACTAGCTGCATGGATTCCAAAGCGGAAGGTTGGTTTATCAAAGCTCTTGATGAGGAAATCGAACAAGTCTGCTGGAAAGAAAGCTTAAGAAGCAAAAATCATGAACCTTTTTGTCTATACAAGCGGAAGGCACTTTTGGAATCGTAATAACGCTTTCCCATGTTTCTTTTGTCTTGAATCATTTATTATCATTGGTTGCATTGTCAGCAAATAAAACCCTTGACTATGTAAGGGCGTTGGTGCAGAGATGAAAAGATGACGTATAAGCAGCAATATAAAGGGAACCTCCGTTTATTGGGAACAGAAGCAATGGAGTTTTGCTTGGATGCTTCTCCGAAACGGAAGCTGACTTCGAAAGAATTCAAGAGAGGTTCATTTTCACCTTGCAGACTGGATTCTAACCAGGTAACTTCCACCATGACGACACAATGTATACATTCTAAAGAGAATTCTTTAAACCTTTTGCAAGTTTTGCAGCTTTAAGGGCATTAATAAACGGTGTGTTTTTGAGGTGATATGGGTAGGAAACCATGTGACTTATATGACCCCAATCGGTCTAATTCTTTAATTTGTTCTCTTTTTTCTTTAAGGGCATTAATAAACAATGAACTTTCTATATTCAACAGATGTGGGAGTTGAACAACAACGGAACCCTCGTAAACAGTTATTCTGGTCTATGTGCTACGATAAATACAGAAAAAGGTAATATTTTTGAAGTTCAATACGAGGATTAATTGAATTGTTTTGATTTTGTATTTTCCAATTACTAAGTGATCTCTCATGCAGCCACTGCTGTTCCTGGAGGAATTCGCTCTTGGATTGCTACAGGAAGGAAAGGTTTGATTTCCCCAAAACCTTGATTAATTTTGAGTTAACCAAACAAAACCCTAGATTCTGAGGTTTCTTTATTACAATTTAAAGGAATAACGACTTCTGAGGAGGTGTCAACCCTTATAATGATTATGGAAAACCCATTTCACAGAGTCTTTGACAACAAGAAAAAGAAAGCCAAAAAGAAGAAATGTAATAAATACCAAGTTGAGTAGTGGTTACAATATATCCATACAAACTATCCTTTTACTTAAAGAGTTGGTTTGTTTAACATCTGTAAGCGGCTTCGTTTTTAAGAACTATCCCGACAACTGAGAGAATTTTCCTTAACCTATGCAAAATGTTGAGTTATTAAAGATTAATCTAGATTTTTCCTAAATGTTCCTAATTATACAAAAACTAATAATGTTTATCATACTTGGAGAAAGCCTTGGTTTATTCTTGAAGCTACTGCCGGACATATGATTAGCTACAACTCGGCATTATTCACTTACAAAAGCTGGTTTAATTAGTGTGCCTGCAATTTGTTTCTTTGATAACGCTCATAATTTGTCTTTTTCATTTGTTTGTTTATTCAGGAGAAATATTTGTTGCTTTCTTCAATTTGAATCCTGCAAGGACCGTGATATCTACAATGCTATCGGACCTGGCTAAGGCACTTCCTAGTGAAAATCTGAGCGATGATTCGTGTACGGCCAGAGAAGTATGGAGCGGGGAAGACATTGGAGTGATAACACAGTCGATAACTATGGCAGTAGAAGTACATGGATGTGCACTATTTGTTTTAAATTGCACTTCCCACTGAAATATTTCGTCCTTTTTCCTAGCTATAGAGTTCGATATATTCTGTGTTACATGGGTCCATTCAATATATGGATTCTTTTCGGAAATGTATCCAATAAAACCATGTTTGATAATTGTCTTTCCTTTTGTATATTTGCATTCTATGATGACTGACCTTCGTGATCCTATGAGTACTGAATCTTTTTTAAGCCTATATTTATATGTATGTGTGTATGTATGTATGTATATATTAAGGATGATATGTCCCACCTTTTGTGATATACAGTATATATTTGGTGTTTGATAAGAACCAGACTGAATGAGTAGTACTGAATTTTGTGTTTGTGTGGTCACAATGTATAAAAATGGTTACTTTTGATCCTCCATGATAGTACTGAGTAAAGAATGATGATGATTGATACATTGACAAACAAGCAAGTCACAATTAAAAGTACAAAACAATTCCACTTTTTCTTTATTAGATTTCTTAGCAGAGAGGGAAAAGCTAACAAAAATTGATGTTTTTGTGACAGCCAGTGCGTGTATATGATCTTGACATGTGCCTAATTATTAAATTCATTAAACTCTCTAAAATTTGAACTTAATATAATTTAAAGTTCAATAACTAATGTCAATGTTACTCAAACTAAATTATCTCAACGTGAGACCCTGGATCATGACTCTTCTAAATATGATTCATACCACTCTCCTCTCTTTTAAAAAATCCTATCAATATTATCTTTTCACATTTGCCTTGGAATTTATTTCTCATTATAATTTCTCTCAATATTTTGCTAATATATTATTTTCATACTTAGCCTTGTATTTTTCATTTTTTCTATGCCAGCTGTGTTGTTTTTCTTAAGCAAATTGTTGTAATTGACGTGATAGTTCAATCATGAAGGACATCTCGATCATCACAAAAACAAATTAAAATAGATTAAATCCACACTAACCATTTTATGGCCACCACATCATATGACAAAAATATCAAAATTTTATTATGGAATCTTAAAATAGATTTTCTTAGTGATTCAACATGAAGTGTAATCCAAGCTGTAATAATTAAATTCAATGTTAAAATGGTCAAACTCTTCGAATATAATGGACTCAATTTTCATTATTAGCGTATATTTAGATTCTTACCAAGAATTTATAGAACAAAAAAAAAAAAAAAAAAAAAAAAAAAAAAAAAAAAAAAAAAAAAAAAGAGCAGTTGATTGGATAAGATTAAAAACAATTCTAAATGTTCTATACTTACGAAAAGGACAAAAAAGGAAAAAAAGAAAAAGAAATATTTGATCAATAGTGTACCTGTATTAACGGAAACTTCAGATAACCATTTCACCTCCAAACCCGAATTACGAGGAGCAAGGATTGACACCCGTTTACCACACTTGCTATATACCCGTATTCATCATTTTCATAGCTTCAGTTTCTCTCCAAACAAACAAACAAACAATACCAGTGACAATGAGGGCCTTCGTTTTGTGTTTTCTCTACCTCTTCTTCACTCCAACCCTACAGAGGTGTGCTTTCAATCTCACACCATAAATTTGGGAACTTTAAATGCAATTAATTGTTTACATACCCAGTTGGGGAAATCAATTGTCTGTGATTTTAATTTTAGTTCTTGTGCTTTTTCATGTATATTTTTCATGCATTTGGTTTCATTTTGTGATGCAAATGATGAAAATGAAATGAAACATCATTACCCTTTTTCAGAAGTGCTTTCAATCTCAAACCATAAATTTGGGAACTCAAATGCAAATTCTTACATACCCAGTTGAGGAAATCTATTGTTTGTCATTTTAATTTGAATTATTGTGCTTTTTCATGTATATTTTGTATGCATTTTGGTTCATTGTGTGTGTGTGTGAATGAACATTGTGTGGCCAAGTGCTTTTCATTTTATGAAGCGAATGATGAAACATGTTTTACCCAATATTTTCAGGGCATTTTCTGCAAAGCAATCCCGGAAAAGCCAAGAGCGCGCTAGCTTGCCCCCAAGAGGTTGGAACTCTTATGATTCCTTTTGTTGGATCATCTCTGAAGAGCAGTTCCTGCAAAATGCACAACTCATCAAACAACGCTTACAAGCGCATGGATACGAGGTCTTAAAACTTCGACTCATGACCATAATTTAAACCTTTTCATTGCATAACATTTGATATGGAGCCTAATTGTGTGTTTGTGTGTGTGTGTGTTTTGTTTTTTTTGTTTTGTTTTTTTTTTTTTTTTTTCATGTAGTATGTTGTCCTGGATTACCTCTGGTTTAGGAAAAATGTGCCAGGTTCTGGCACTAATGCTGCCGGATTCGACCTAATTGACCAATGGGGGAGAATGGTTCCGGATCCAGATAGATGGCCTTCGTCCAGAAATGGGAAAGGATTGAGTGAAGTAGCCAAGAAAGTTCATGACATGGGTTTGAAATTCGGTCTTCATGTCATGAAAGGTTTAAGTTTTCAGGCCTTCAATGCAAACACCCCAATCTTAAACATTAAAACGGTATATATTGCTCCTCATTCTCACCATAACTCGATTTCATTTCTCTCCACATTAATTTGAGTTCAATTGTGACTAAGGAAAATAATAGTACTATATATCTTCCGATTTTATTTATTTATTTATTATTAATTTATTTTATTTATTTTTGAGCTATTGACTCAGTGGTTAAGAAAGATTAACTTACTTAAATCTCTATCTGTGTTTTAATTTTTCATCAGGGAAAAACTTATGAAGAGGGTGGCAGGCAGTGGCGCGCGAAAGATATTGGGATAAAGGAGAAGAAGTGTAAGTGGATGCCACAGGGTTTCATGAGTGTGAATACCAGTTTGGGAGCTGGAAGAGCTTTCTTGAGGTCACTTTACAAACAGTATGCCGGCTGGGGCGTTGATCTAGGTAAGTTGACTGATACCGGCTAAAAAAACATTTCGTTTGGTTTATATTCTGTCAATCAAGGTGCACATGGATTCATGGACATTCCAAGAAAACAAAATATTTTGGTTACATTTTTTACATAAAATTTTTGGATTGTCTATTTGTTTTGCCTAGCATTTGAAATGGCCGGCTCTATCATTGTTTACTGTAATTGATCATCTTTATGATTTCAGAACAATGCATTGGCCGGTTTAGGTTTTCCACAATCATGTGTGGCAATGTGTTCATTTTTGTTACTGCTGAGGTGCCTTTGGATGCTATGAGAACCAAAAACCAGACCATTCTACTTCTTTGGGATGTTTAAACACACATTTCAGAAAACAATGGACCACCAATACCTTAAATAGTCTTTTAGGTCAGGAAACATTCTAGCTTTCTAGCTAAGATATATCATTGTTTTATCTACATTATGAAATATGTTACATAATATTGCTGCAACAATCAAGTAAAAAGAATCCTCGGGATTTTGGGCAGAATGACCTTTAGAATTCAGATTCCTCTGAACTCTATGATTTGATAAAGCATTAACTTTGGTGGCTCAATTTGCATTTCATTTCGACTGACTCAACGATTGTTCCTGTTTTCTTGACAGTGAAAAATGACTGTATATTTGGTGATGACTTGGATATAGGCGAGATAAACATTGTGTCAAGGGTACATACACACCTCTCCTACTTAAACTTTAGTGATACTCTGGCTTAAAATGTTTATTCATATGATTTTTCAAAGTGAAGAGAGATGATATATCAAGCCCCTTTGTGCAGTTTTTGAGTGGAGTTAACCGTCCCATTGTATATTCGCTGTCTCCTGGAACTAAAACGACAGTGGCAATGGCAAAGAAAGTGAATAAAGCAGTCAACATGTACCGGATAACAGGGGATGACTGGGATAAATGGGAAGATGTTGTAGCTCATTTCGACGTCACAAGGTAGATAAACTACTTCAACACTTCAATTCGATACTTATCATTGACTAAGGCTTGTTTTCAACGTCTTGATCATAACGTTCACCTCAAGAGTTTCCCGGTTGAGATTGATCTACATTGCTCAATTTTCTTCTTGTTCCTTGTTCGGTTGGTGCTTGTATCAGAGATTTAGCTGCTGCTAATATGATAGGAGCTGAGGGCATGTTAGGAAAGTCATGGCCTGATTTGGATATGCTACCATTGGGATGGCTTACTGATCCAGGTGTGGTTTTCATACTTTATAGTAAATTAAAATGCTTGACCTACACATTTTGTAACTAAAAAGCAACAATTAATTGTATATATTTTTTGACTAATAGATTCGAATGAAGGTCCATACAGAAAATGTAATCTTACTCTAAACGAGCAAAGAACTCAGGTAATCAAATACAATTAATTAAGTACTAATGAATTAGTTACGCTAAGTACCATTTTTCAAGGTGTGGATTAATTTAATTTCTTTTTTTTTGCAGATGACACTGTGGTCCATAGCCAAATCTCCTCTCATGTTTGGAGGAGATATGAGAAATCTCGATGATGCCACCTACAGTCTCATCACGAATCCCACCTTACTGGAAATAAACGCGTTCAGCTCAAACAATAGGGAGGCAAGTTAATCATCAACGTATACATATGCATATAATTGTTTACTGCTGAAATTTTAGAGTGTCACGGGATAAGTCTTTTGTTGTGCACAGTTTCCTTCCATTACTGCTAGTTCTAAGGGAGGCCAGTTAACAACTAAGGGTGGACAAGAAACACATTCTTTGGGACTCGTCAGCTGCATGGATTCCAAAGCGATGGGTTGGTCTACTAAAGCTCTTGATGACAAAACCGAACAACTCTGCTGGAAAGGAAGCTCGAATAGTACTCAAACACCTATGTGTCTACACAAGAAGAAGACTTCTTTGACATTGTAATAATGCTTTACCTTTCCATGATTTATATGTCTTGAATCATTTGTTACCGGCATTTTCTTGATTTTCTAAGGATTAATTGACAATGTTGATGTAGTGAAAAAGGGACTATGTCGGAAAAGGGGACTATGTCTAAGCAGTCAGATCAAGGTAACTTCCATTTATTCGCGACACATGCTATGAAGTCATGCTTGGATGCTTCTCCAAGAAGGGACTTTGCTTCGGATGACTTCATGAGAGATTCATTTTCACCTTTTAGACAAGATGATGACAACCAGGTATTTTCAGTCTTCACAAATTTGTGATGCGTCGTTACATGTTCTAATATAGAAAATTTTCGTAACCTTCTACAAGTCTAGTTAGTCCCCCTTTAAGGGCATAAATAAATAGAGGGCTTGTGATGTGAATATATGATTATCTATAGGCTTAATTTTCATTTTTATTCTTCTGTTTTTGCTGCAAATATAGTCTTATATTTACTTTGTTAATTAAGATTGAAAATTAATTACCAAAGGACTTGGAATTTGGAACAGATGTGGGTGTTCAACAAGAATGGAACCCTCAAAAGCAGTCGTTCTGGTCTATGTGCTACGATAACAGATGTTAAAGGTAAATAAATTTGAAGCTCTTGCAAGGATTAATTGAATTATTTTTTATTTTGTATTTTCCAATTACTAATAAGTGAGACCTCAAACAGACATTGCTGGTTCTGGAGGAACGCGCTCTTGGATTGCTACAGGAAGAAAAGGTTTGATTTCCCACAAAACCGCAATTAGTTTGAGTTAAAATGAATATCCTAGATTAAGGTTTCCCAAACACAACTTTAAGGAAGAATGTTTTCTGAGGAGCTGTAGACCCTTAGAATGACTATGGATAGCCCATTTCATAATTGTTGCTACTGATACAGAATTCTAATCTAGATTAATCTAGATTTTTGTTAATTATACAAGAAAAGATTAATCTAGATTTTTGTTAATTATAGAAAGTCTAGTTATTTTATCATATACTTGGAGGTGCATTCATATAGGGAAGGCCTTATTTTCCAAGAGAAAGAGGGGAAGGATGAGATAAGGAATGAAACATCTCTTCAATCCCCCACCATATTTGCATCAATTAGGAAGTGGGTGAAATAGGAGATAGAAGGAATGAAATGACATAATTAACCTCATTCAATTGTATTAATTAATGTATTCAAGTGTTTAATGATAAAAATGTTAATCATTTCCTTCCATCTAACCAAACCAAAGGATGGATGAATACTTTCCCTTCTCTAGGGATGTCTCATGCATCCTCTCCTCCCTTTTATCCATTTTCCTTCCCTCCTACCAAACGAAATCAAACCAATGCAGAAAAAATGCTATTGAAAATTTTAATTATTCTTAAAGCTAGCTACTATAAGACTGACCTGAATCCTCTCTAGTGGAACAGTACTTTCTCTTCCGTCCAATTTGAAATGCACCTTATAATAAGGTTAGGATGTTTAACAAATATACCAACCTTTTTGTAAGGTGCATTCCATACTGGACGAAATAGGATCTACTGTTCACACAAGAGGATTTTATTCCCTATAAGACGGACATGCTTATCTAGTATTTCAATCTCTACTAGGGTCCTTGCATCATTCATTTTCATACATGCATGCAATTTGTTTCTTGGATATAGTTGATTAATTCATTTGTTATCCTCTTTCGATCTAATAAAATTGGTTTTTTTTTTTTTTTTTTTTTTTTGTACAGGAGAAGTATATCTTGCTTTCTTCAATTTGAATGCTCAAGAGACCGTAATATCTACAAAGATAGCAGACCTGGTTAAGTCACTTCCTAAGCAAAATCTGAATAAAGTTTCATGTAATGGCAAAGAATTATGGAGTGGGAAAGATTTGGGAGTAATAAAAGACACCATATCTATGCCTGTAGAGTCCCATGCCTCTGTACTTTTTGTCTTGAATTGCAAGTAGTGCTCAATATATATATATATATATATATATATATATATATATATATCACACATTATGTTCATGGATATAGCTGTCCAATGGGGACTTGATTGATCCCTCCATTTTGAGAGAGGGATGTACCACTACTAGGTCAAATCTTTAGTGGGTAGTGTTTAAAACTTGATGTAATATGAGTTCATTGATGTAAATTTTTTTATTTTTTATGTTCTCACAAGTAAAATTCACACACACTGCACACTGCATCTTACAAGGATTTGAAATCATTTCTTTTTAATTTGGGAGTAAGAGGGGATACCGCCATGTCAAAATATTGGTGATTTTCTAATTTTTTCATTTTGAAAATGAGAGGAGACGCCGCCATTGGCGGAACTTTTAATAGGCTAACCTCGGCTATAGCCTAGGTCTAATTTTTTTTAAAAAAAATTAGTACTACTATTCTTATCAACCCAATTCATAAGCAATAAATATTTAGTACTACTCTTTCTCTTCTTATCAGTCCAATCCATATTGTATAGTTTAGAGAATGTTAATATTTTGAGATCAAATATAACATGGTATTTGAAGGTGGTTGATAATTATAAATAAATAAAAAATTGATGGGACAAAGTGCACCTCAAAAGGGATCATACAGCATTGGTAAATTCTTTAATATCATTAAATGATGTCGATAGCTATTTGAAATATCCGAGGACTCATTTGTCCATCTAAGCAGAGTGAGCTCAAATTTCTCCTCGCAGAAAACAAAAAAAGTTGACATTGCAGCCATCATTGAAAGCAAGGTTAACATCGCCAATATTGACCTGAACCATAGGGTCATTGCTAAATCCTGGATGCTGATTCACAATTATCATCACTCCCAACTTGAGAGATTTGGATTCTATGGAAGCCCAACATTGTTGATCTTAATGTCATTCACACCACTAGACAAATCAGACACTATTCTGTCACCATGTTGAGATGTAGGACACACATTAATATATCCTTTGAAAATATTAAATATCCCGGGGAATAATACTCCTGGGTCATCCCACCCCTTGGATGTGGTGGGACTCACTACCACATCCATGATCCAACCACTTCCACTGTTATGGGGTACCATACTTTCCGGATATTTAATACTTTCTAATCTATAGAGAAAATTCTGCAACAGAGAAGGAACCATGTGAAGCCAATTCTGCAACAGAGAGGGAACCATTAGGGCAAACATCGAGTCGCATTCAACTATCTTCTCTTCCTGTCCCCATAAGCTGTTAAATATATAGATTTTCAAGCCAAAAGAAAGACATACATGATCTGGTTGATCGAGAAAAAAAATCGACATACATGATGCTACTAGTCTAGTCTCCCAATAAGCCAAACCGTCGACATTAAGCTGCTGCTAGCATTCATATAAATTTTCAAGCCAAATGAAACACATTACTACTAGTCTCTCACAACCTGTCAACCTCAATTCATACTAGCGAGCAAGCTTTAACCCGGAAAAGGTTTGCACAAAGGTTTAACCCGGAAAAGTTGACGAATGGGTTTCTTGGCCCTGAATGAGTTAGCTTGGGTTTTTTAAAGCCCAATCGGGATTATCCAAATTTTTATCGTTCAGTTTTTTATAGTGTGCCGACAAGTCAGAGTCCACTTGAAGCGACTCTGATAATAAAACAACTAGAATCAACAGGAGTACTAGTGACCAAGTATAACAGAGGAGCTTGTGTTACCTAAGTTTAAGTTTTTCGGTAGAATTGCAAAGCACCCACTCGTTATAGTTAATATTAGAGTTAAATTCAATTCTTGATTCAGTATTAAGCCAAGCGTTTCGGTGTGCCATCCGGATAGGTAAGGTGATCCGACCGCAACAATAACATTACGAGTTTGAGTGAAAGGTTGTCCTACACCGGATCTAAATGAGAGAGTGATTACATATATATGGACATAGTGTTAGTCCCACCTAATAATTTTAATTTTTGAACCAGATATGATTATACCAAACAAGTTACACAATCCATTAAAATGTGTGAAGTGGTATATATATATATAAAAAACTCTAAATCAATTAATGCTTATATTAGTTTTTCATACTACTAAGAATATCCCCAATGTAGTATCTTCATTATTATTCTACACTTTCACAAAGTGTTGTGTCACCTCAGCAATTGTGGTGACATGACTCTGCACATTTTTAAAGTTTATTTCTCTTATTATACACACATCTTTTATATTCTACACTTTATTATTTTATTATTTTAAAATTTACCCACATGTTACTAATACACAATTAATTTATTTCATAATATTAAAAGTACACACAAGGCCCACGTATAATTGCTACTTGATTTTACACATTTGAAGAATTGGGTGTAGAATATAAAGGGGGCCCACAAGTGTGTAATGTGCTTAGAAGGTTTATTCATTCAACGCATCCTCAGATATTTGTACACATTGCTTATGGGCTGGGTTACTCTAACTTATGGTGCAAATGAAGTCTGAATTGACATGTGCAAGTGCCAGATGGAAGTTAGGAAAAGGGTACATGTGGATTAATTTGTAAATATATATATACTCCAATAGTCCTATGTACTGCTAGTACAAGTTTGAAGTTTTGACTTTGTCTACAATCAAAGGCCTTTCATATTCCAATTTTTGACTTTTCTTAGTTCATGGGTGTAAGCTTTTCAATAACAACGCATTTACGTATCAAATAGGATCTGACCAAATTTGATGTTTTTCTCTTTAGTTGTCACATAAATAGAGGTACTGGATGAATGTTGGGCCAGTGAGGTGCCACGTGTGCATAAGAGTGAGATTCATAACTCAATCATATCTTAATTTTTGGCTGCCTTATGAAGTTCTGACTTCTCTACAATCAAAGCCCTTCCCAATGTTCTAGCTTCTAACTGTTCATGGGAGTGCCAAATTATAAATATGCTTTTCAATAACAATACATTCACGTATCAAATACCATCATCAATTTGATGTTTTTCTCTATTAGCTTTCGCATTTATTGACTTTAATTTCCCCCCCTCTCTCTCTCTCTCTCTCCACAATTATTGAAGTTTTTTCCTAACTTATTGGATTTTTTGAAAAAAAAAAGACCTGTGAAACTCGTTTGATCCGTTCAAAATAAAAACTGGGTTATTGATATAACCCCTTTTGGATGGAATTCAGGATGGCCCAATCCAGACTTATTTCGAGTTGAGGTTGGGTTGAGACTGGGCTGGGTTGGACCAGCCCAACTTGAAGCCCTATTAATGAGGATAGTGTTATTGACATTTGTTGTTTTGGTGTTGGGGTTTTTGAGTTCATCAAATGGTGCAGTTTCTCAAAGTGTAATGCAAAAGATGAGTAGAATAATAAGCAGGGTCCATACTTGGGCATTGTACTTCCAAACAGCTTTGAGATGACCCCTCTTCTTCAATCTCCAAGCTTTGTGCCTTCTCACAAGCTTCCTTACTTGGATTTTTTATTTAGTATTATTTACTACTAATTCTTCCTTTTTTGTATTATATATTTATAAAAATATAAAGATCAAAAATGAGATTTTACTGTGCAAAGAAAATGGGAATTACAAGTTTCCAAATCCCCAATTCTTTGTATCTCTTTCAGCTTTTCAGCTTTTCGTGTTTTCTTATTTCATAGTGTATTATAAATCCTAAGTTCCTAACACCTTTTTATATCAAACTACAATAGAGATTAGAATTCGCTCTAAGACTTACGAGAATATTTTTTTTTTCTTCATTTTCTGGTGTTTGGCTGTCGTAAAATATTTAAGAAGAAAAAAAATATTAAAATTCAACAAAAATAACTTATTCATCAATTTTCGACAAGTAATTTTACACGCTCTGTCCGACACGACCTCAATATTTGTCAAATACCAAAAAATAAAAAATATATATTTTACTTTTTGAAATCAAACTTGATGCCACCTAGAACTACTTTGGCTAGCCATTCAGGGGGTCATTTTCTACGTGTAATGGTTTAAGTGGAGCCTCTCTCTCTATCTTAGGTAGCCTATTCACTAAACACAATCACGAGAGATTGTTGACTTTGAGTCACAGGTCTTTCATAAGAATACGAAAGTCCAGTCATAGCAATGGTATAATTTGTTAAAAAATATTTTACGTCAAAATAAACGGAACTTAAAGAGTTAAAGAGTTAAGTAAGAACCGAAAACTAAAAAAAATGATATATTTAAACAAACAAAAACGATTATAAATATAATAAACGAAATATACATCATAATAACGTCTGTTTCATGTTTATTTGTATGAAAAATATAAAGAAGGAAATGGAAACTCATTTTTATGTGGTGTATGTTGTAATAGAAATAATATTAAAGCACAGGAATCAAAAATTGAAAGAACGATAAGCGAGAGAGGGAGGAAGAGTGAATACTTGATAGTACTTTCATGTCCATCACATTCATATGTATATATAGGATAGGTTGCAGCCTTCAGTCTTTGCTTTTATATTCGGCCCTACATCTTGCTCCAATCAAGTGGTTATACATCACTCCATCGATCAAATGTTTTTAAATGCATAAGCATACTAATTGCTGAAGTGCACATCACTATATCAATTACATTAATACACACATTTTACAGTGGTAGGTGGTGGACCCCATATCGTAGAACAGTGTGACTTGGTTTATTTATTTATTTATTTTACAGAATATTGTGTAGTTTAGACAGTGTCCAACGTTGTTGTGAGATCAAATATAATAGTATAATACCATGTATTTGATAGTGATTTGTAAGGAGTTGGGACCATTGATTTTTAAGATAATTACAACAAAGTAATTTAATTTTGTGCAACTTCACTGCTTGCGTCACACAGACACGCACCGCGCCCCCACACGCACATATGTGTGAGAAAATGTTATTGACTTTTCCTGACACGACACAATCATTGTTCCACCAACACAGGAATATTATAAATAAAAAAAGCAGCCAACAAATTGGATCTTCATATCTAATTAAATAATTAAATGATTGATCATTTTTTAACACAATGGGAGGAAATTGCCTTCCCTGCACCTTCCTTCAAATTTAAAATAGCCGGCAAGATTCAGATTAGCATAATTTTCCTACAACAAAGAAAAGTAGTAAAGGTGATCAGCATCCCGGTGTAGATAAGAAGTAATGATGATCATCATCTCGATGTGATGGTAATTTGAATCTTGCTTAATCAGATTCAATGATAGTGCGAAGTGCTATATACTAGTACTATCTTCAAATCATATAATATTTTTTCGTATAAAACTCGAGAACAAAATTGTCCGAACTAGGCGCGGACCTAGCATAGGCTCACACTGAATTTTTTATATTTTTATTTTATATTTTAATTTTTTTAAAATTTATAAAGATGTCCTCACTAAAATTATAATTTGTCCCCACTGAATTATTGTTTTTGCATTTTATATTTCAAATTTTTAAGAATTTTTAAAGATGCCCCCACTAATATTACAATTCGCTCACTGAATTTTTGTAATTTTTTTTTTATATTTTATAATTTAAATTTTTTTAAATTTTTGAAGAAAATTCCATTAAATCACAAATTAAAAGACCCTTCACAAAAATTTCTAAATTCGTCATGGAACCAAATTCGACCTTAAAATAGACAATATCAAATACCACAATCACCTCCCTTGTTAAATGGTTCTAAGGGAAATTTTTTTTATATTTTTTTCTCTTATCTTTTTGATACTTTAGTTTATGATCGTTTCACTTTCAACAAGAAAAACATAAATGCGATGGCATTCCAAAATAGACTAAACATATACAGACAAGATAGATTACAACAAGTGGGCTATATTTCGATGTGGCCAAGCTCATGCATGCATCAAGAAATTGACCAGATACTTGCTTCTGGATTTGTAAGTGAAACAATCAAATTGTTATATACGTATATTGCAACTATACAACATTTATTTAAATGAGTCGTGAAAGTAAGTGGCGGCGGCGGCTTTGACTTGTCGCCCAAATTATATGTTATATTATTGTCCAATAATGGGCACTATAGTTCCACATGAGTGGCTCAAGATGGCTTGATAGTCCACTTATAAATTTTAAAATTGTACTCATGAATCATCAATGTTACTAAAATATATTCGTACCCTTTCAAAAATAACCACCATGTTTTCTTTTTTAATCTGTCTCAAAATAAATATTTACCTTTTTTTTTTAAACAATATATTTCATATTTTTTCATATATATTCTTTAAGTTTAAAATTTTAAATTTGAATATTCACAACTTAAAAGGGTAAGTTAGTAATTTTTTAGGCAGATAATGCATGTTCCACATATTCCTTTAAAAATTATTATTTTCCTATAAGTGATACTTAAATTGGGGATGGAGAGAGTATTTTTTTTGTCTTTGTTTTACTCAATGATTTAATTAGTAGAGCATTTTTTAATTTATCAGGAAACTACCTAGACCTAACTAATTTACTTATTGACATTATACAAGAGTGGGCTAAAATTTATCTAATTTTGGAATATTTAGATGGTAGAAGAAGGTAACCTTGTGTGTATGTGTGTGTGTGTGTGTGTTTTTTATTTTTATTTTTATTTATATTTTTTTATGGTTTTGTGGTTTTGAAGTGAAGTATTGAGTATAATGTTTTGTAAGAAAAGGACTAATTTTCAAAATAAGAAAGGATAAATTTCACTTACTTTTCATGAGATTTGTTAATATTTTATATAAATCCCTTTGCGTTTCATAATCTTACTTTCATTTCATCCATAAAATGTTTGTTTTTATTTCAGGTATTAAAAGGACAAAATTGACCTTTTGGTCACTAATATGAGAGATAAGTAAGTAGAATTATGAATTGTGAGGAGAATCTATGTGAAATATTGCTTAATCTCATATAAGTGAAATAGATATTTTTATCACTGAAAGAATCAATAGTCTCTAAATAGATAATTGTATATATACTTATAAATTTAATTAAGTTCATTATATGGTTAAGTTCAATGCTAGCTAGTAAGTGATTAGACCAATTTTCATTGATTCCTCCGTTGATAAATTATGAAGTGGTGTGTACACTCGTGACGACAAGAACCAATGAAAAGCAGAAAAATATCTCATTGGGAACTTTCTCTGTCACTTCTTGCTACCCTAATCTGCTAAGTTTTGACACATTGGAGAAAGAGCTAGAACGAAAGGACTTCCAGTACTCTGTGTCTCTTGTTCAAGCTTTCATGGAACGCGTTCCCCCGTCCCACACACACGCACACACACACACACAAGTGGAAGTAGCAAAAACGAGTGTCCCATATATATATATATATATATATGTATATATATCCTCCAGATGTGACTACTTGTTTGCTCTCGTCATGAATTGATGTGTCTGCATCTGAATAAGCCATTAAAGGTTGGTGACTTGAAAGCGAACACTGATATCCTCTAGGCTTATTTATCTAAGAACTGTTTTCCCAAAAGAATTCTGAAATTTGAAAAGTCAAGAGGGCTCAATTATATATAGATATACCATCAATGTCCTCGCAGAAGAGGAGGAGAATTATTTTTGCACTTGTAAACTCAACCATGGTTGTTATTATCGATTAATATGACTATCAATGAGACATACACGATCTTCTTATATAATGCTGACAAAAGTTTTTGTTGAATGTAGGGTAAAGTACAAAGACAACCCCTGAGGTTTACCAAACGGACACCCAAATAATAGTTTGCTTATTTTGGGACAATGACACCCCTTCAAGTTTGAAAAATGGACAAAAAGATCCTGAAGATGGTGAATTGGCCTTATTACCCTTAGTATAAAATTGACATTTTAATTGACTTAAATACCCTTGGATTAAACCTTAACCCAAACCCATCTGAAACCATAACCCGAACCCACCTGTGTAAAGAACCCTCTCCCCGCCGCCACCAACACCATGACAATGGATACTAGAGAGGTACGAGAAAGAGGCCCCTATCGTGAGAGGTCTTCTACTCTATGCTCGTACAGAAAAAATACACACACTACATCTTCATCACCTTTCAGCCACACACTACATCTTCACCATTCCTCAGCCGTCGCCGCCACCGCCTCATCATCATTCTCACGTGGTAGTGGCGGCGGCAAGGCAGGCGACCCATCATGGTGACGAGATTCCAACCGACTACGACAAATTCTCCGTAGCTGCTACTGACGACGACTTCATCATCGAACATACCTCATTCCCCTCGACACCAACAACAACAATAATCTTCACTCGCCGTAACCCTATGGTTTCGGTTCGTCCCCAAATCCTGAGTGCACTTTGTCGCCGTTCGAGTCCTCTGTTCTGAAATCCAACAGTGATTCGAAGCCGTACGATCTCGGAGCTGATATGGACTACATCTTCGTTGGTTTTCTTTGCATCATCGGAATCGTGGCTGGTCGTCACCGGATAGTTTGCTCATCGTCAGCATCGTCCGATCCGCTTCTAGCTCTTTACCGTCGCTGGAATTGGAAGTGGAAGGTCACAGATCACGCTTCTATATTTGTGTGTGTGTTTTAGATAGATAGAACAAAACACATAGGGCTTTTGCCTCGGACGATTTGGGGATTTCGTGGTTGTGGTGAGTTTAATGGGTAGTGGTGGAGATGCCGATTGTGGATGGTAGGAGGAGAACTCGGCCGGTGGAGACGGACTGGTTCGTGTCATGGATGAATCGGCGGCGGCTCAAATGAGGATGACGGCGGAGAACTTCGGCTTTGATGATGTCGGCTGGGATGGAGGAGACGGCGAGCTCGGTGATGTGCAAGGCTGAAGACAGTGATGTCATGGTTCGGCCGTGGATGATGGCGACGACGAGCTTGGCTTTGGATGATGGGGGTCGGCGAGCCAGGACGGCCAGAGAGAAAAATTCGATGGTGATGGCTTGACTATTTATTTTTATTTTTATTTTTATTTTTTGGGTTTGGCTTTGTAATTAATTGGTGGTGAAGGGTGAAGGGCTGCCGGAATATGCAGGGGTGGTTGTTGGGGATGGAGATGTTGGCGGTGGTTTGGGGGTGGGGATGGTGATGGTTGTGGATTTTGGTGTGGTGGTTTGTTGGATTGATTGGGTGTCAAGGGTATTTTGGTCATTTAAGTATTTTGATATTTTATAATTAAATTTAATAAAATAGTGAAGGGTAAAACAGACTTTTCACATCTTTTAAGGCTTTGTTTGGGTGACAAATTTTATAAGGGGGTGTGGTTGTCCCAAAATGAGCAAACTTTCCTCTAGATGTCCTTTAGGCAAACCTCAGGGGGTGTCTATGTACTTTACCCTTGAATGTATTATGTTTAGAGGAGTGTTTTTTTATAAAATTTTAATCATCAATTGTAGCATCAGGTTGATGGTTCTCTATTTTTTTTAAAAACGGTGAGAGTTTGAATGAAAATGATATATAGAAAATTAAGGATGATGATAATATACATAATACTAGCGGAACTACAATTTCATAATATTCTTGCCCTAGAACGAGATGCATGCAATAAAATCAAAAAAATTTATTTGAAGGAAAAAGGAAAAAAAAAGACAAAGAAAATGAGGTTAATAGTGAACCCTCTCACCTCGTGTGTGGAATTCAAAGTCTCTTAATACTTTAGCTGGAGAATTTTTTGACAATTGCACCATGAATGTGGAAAGGCGGGACTATGCGTGCCACAAGGTGAATTATAGAATGCAATAAAAGGTCTAATATCACCATCTCAAATATTGATTTGCTAGCTCATTAATGTGTAAAAAATTTATACAAAAAATAAATTAAATATAAAAACATAAATTTTCTTTTAAATTGTCAAATAAAATCTATATAATAATTGAAGTGTACACACATTTTTTTATATACCAAAAAAAAAATATATATATAAGTGAACATTTCTGTACGTGTGTGTGTATATTTTACCTCACGAAGTTTAGGGTTAAAGAGGTCAAAGGCTTTTAATCCTAATGTTTTGGCGCCTTATTACGTGGCATCGTCTTCGGCTCTATAAATAGGCTTTGCGAGCCTCCTCTTTACAGTGCCATTACCCACACTAAGTTCACACACTTAACTAACTCCCTCCCTCTCTCTCTCTCTCTCTCTCGACAGCAACGGTCTCCAACTGCAGATTCCCTCTATTTTCTTGCCCACTTTCCTTCATTTTCTTACCATCCAAACATGCACTCCACCGCCTTAAAAACACTTCCTCCTCCTCCATTTTCTTCCTTTTCAAGAATCTCAATATTCAGAAATCCCAACCCTAGCTCGATTCAATACTCAAAGCACAAAAAGGAGAAGCAAAGAGAATCAATCTCAAAATCCATCAAATGTATTTGCGTCTCCGATTCGAACATCAATTCTTACTATTTTCATCCATTGAAACCAGTCAATCCTAGCTCCTCTGTTTCAGACAAGGTTCGAAGTCTAGTCTCGGAATTCGAGTCTCTGTCGGAGCCGATTGATCGGGTGAAGCGGCTACTACACTACGCGGATCTTCTTCCTCCGCTGGACGAATCGGGTCGGGTTCAATCGAACCGTATCACGGGGTGTACGGTCCAAGTGTGGTTGGAGGCGAAGATGCTTGGGAACGGGACGATGAGGTTCGGAGCCGATAGCGATTCCGAGATTGCGAAGGGGTTCTGTTCGTGCTTGGTTTGGATGATGGACGGGGCGGCGCCGGAGGAGGTGTTGGAGGTGAAGACGGAGGATTTGGCGGAGCTGAATATGGGGTTGAGTGGCAGAGCTCATTCCAGGGTGAACACTTGGAATAGTATTTTGATTGGTATGCAGAAGAGGACCAAAGCTCTGGTTGAGGAGAGACAAGGCAAGTGTATATATATATATATATATATTGGTAGAAACTTGGTTTACAATTAAGTAAATATTTTTATTTGTTTATTATTATAGAGCTAGAGCGGCAGCATGCTTAGTTCAATTTTTTATAATTTAGTTTTCGAAAATGGTTTTCAGAAAATTGAATTTTGTACAATTTTTTGATTTTTAATTTAAAAAATAGTTTTCAGAATCAGAATATTTTTTGAACTATTTTATGTTTTAATAATTTTTAAAGAACATAAAATTATTCTTAAAAAAAACTAAACCAACCCTTAATTTGTTAAGTAAATGCGGTGTTTGGTGCACCAATAAATGCTTGCCTGAGAGCCACATGTTGAAACTTATGTCTCTCTTTCCAGTCAACAACTCACCGCATCCAAGATTAATTGGAGACACTTTGTTTGAAATGTTGTAAGGCTAATTTTCTATTGTCAAATTGTCACGGACCTTTTTTATTTGCTTTTGTTTTAATAATTTCTTAAAGTATAAAGCGGACAATGAATGTTATTTTGGCAATTTTATCCTTGTTTTGTGCACGAAAGACTTAAACAGTTGTTTAAACTAGATTTTAACAGTATTAAAGTATTACATCTTAGATTTGGAGTGCCCCACATGATCCATGGATGGTTTTAAAAGTCTTATATTGGTGAATTTGAAATAACAAGATGAAAGGAGTCATTTTAACTTTTTAAGTAAGATTCTGGTTGGAAACTTGGAATATACCTCTCCCAATCCATCTAGACTACACATAATACTAGTGAATTTGACAATATATATATATAAGATCAATTTATAGATCTAGAGTTCTAGACAAAAACTTAATATTTTTTTTTGTGTCTTTAATCACTTTGAGCTTTTGCTAACATGGGCATATAACATGTATAAAAAAAAAAAAAAGGCTAGTCCAAGACTCTTGTCATTATGGAGAGTGGGGAGAGTTAGATGCACGCAGTTTTACCTTCGTGATGAGTCTGTTTCTGATTTAATATTTTCGAGACCTGATTAATTAGTGGAAGTGAAAGAGTTCTATATAAAGTTTGTTTTTGTTCTGACCGGATATAATTTATAAGTTTTGATTCTATGAATTTGTTGGATGTGTAGATTCTAAGTTTGCATCCTTGAATTGCAGGCAAGGTCTTGAAAGTTTAAGGAACTTGTGAATGTAGGAGTGTTTGATTTTAGACACATGAAGTTGTGGCTTCTAATGGACAATAAAGTTGGGTACCCGATTTCGGAAACAACCGCGTCACTTCCTTAGTCATTGTCGCGATGACTTCTTCAAAAGCAGCAGGTCCCCACATGCTGCTTCAAAGAATTAAAGACGTCAAAGGGGTCAATTTCAGTTGTCTTGTGAGGAAATTCTTCCACTTAACCCCTTTTTTTTTTTTTTTTGTACAAACTAGAAACAGTTGTATTTTGGACAAGATTATACATGTGTATTGTCAGAAAGACTTAATAGTCCCTCACTGTGTGGTTCTCTTGTCGGATTTGGACAGTATAAAAGGAGTCCTGCCCCACAGATGATATTGGTTTCAAATTCTATCTCATGACAGAACTCAAGATTGGCTCCAAAATAATATGGCTGGCCAGGATTGGTGTTAAAAAGAATTACTACCATAACTTGATATAATACAAATAATGCTTTGAAGATCATTCTAGCAGCCATAGGAATGTTCACATACATTCTCCATTCCACCTGTATGGTATTTGTGTAAAAAGTTTAGATTAATGGTGACATGTATAGATTAGACTGTTAAAAGCTCGAGAATATTGGTGAATGTGATGGATTAAGCCACTAATCTGGTGGGATTTAATTGTAATACTACCTAGCAACAGAATATTTGTGTAATCAAGTAAAATTGTCGAGGATTAAGTGAGGAATCAGCTGAGTGTCAATCGAATATGTACATGAACTGATTGATTGTATCTGTATCGTACAAGTGGAAATTTGATTTTTCAAGGTCTCCTTTATGGGGAAGTTTGTAGAACCACTAGCAATATGCTGCTATAGCTGTGAATTCTGCTTTAAAGGTCTGAATCTGGTTGCATGTTAAATGTACTTATACTTTGGTAATAGTTTTGAGCATGTATTACTGTGGTAGTTTGTTCGGAGCACACAGAAAACTAGAATTTGTATTCTAGGTGAATTTCCAAACGATTAGTGTTTTATCAGTTAGTTTCTTTGTAATGTTTATTAGTTGGTATGATTTTTTGAGGATTCGGTCAATGAATGTTTTTTTTGGTGTGTATTTGTCAGACACCTATTTACAATTTTGTTATGTAACTATTTGTTGTTTGTCGTTGCTTATGAATCATATGACTTGCCCAATGTAGCAGAAAAGTTCTCGTAACACAGTTGTCATTAGAGGAAGTGATGAAGTTTGCATACAGTTTTAAGTTTGTTGTTTTGCTTTGATCACGAGGAAAATTAAGTTTCATCCTTCAATTACAGAAGGCAAAAATTTTATACCCTGATAAGGCGAAGATTAAATATTTTTTCAGCGTACTTAAGTAGAAGATAATTGGCGGTCCATGTTGCCCATTTTTATATGGATCGAGAAGTCCATGGTGCCTCAGCTGCTGCTCAAAAGTTGTAGCCTCACATTCATATATCCGATTCTTTGTTTATGGCATATTCGGCAGTCAAAATAGCATAGAGTGGATGCTAATTTATCACTGTCGCCCTATGTGTGGATTTCTTTTCAGAAATTTTATGCGCAATCCTTGAACTTTTCGTGTCGTCTATTGAAGCATATTTCATCCTTCATTTGTTTTTCGATCTTTAAAAGACATCTAATGTAAATTCTGCTTCTGCAGGACATTTTCTGCTTTTGGTTTCCTTGGTATCTTGATGGTCCATACTTGATGTCAAATGAACTTATTGGTTGCTCTTTTGGCTGATGCCACAGCCAATCACGCGTTCACGAACTTTCTTCAGCCAGCTACGACTTCAACCCCCTTGCATGTTATCTATGTAAACATTTGTAAGTGACGGAAGCTCAGACAATGAACTTGTGCAACAATTACATGTACTTCTTTTGAGGTAGACAAAGTTTCTTCTTGTAATCATTCCAATTACTGCAGTTCTTTTCTCGTTATGCAAATGCTTATATAAGTTGGTTTCTTTTCAGGGATTTACTGAGATACGAAATCTGAATGTATGGTCATGGCCTGATTCCTATATGGATGCAAAACATTGTAGGTTTGTTTCAGGACAGCAACTTCCAGAAAATAGTAAAGGAAGCCGTTGTCTTGAATATAGGCTCGTCTATTGGCTTATTCAATCACACATCATGCAGTACTAGGAGTGTGTGAAATGGCTTCCAGGAATCATTTCATTTAGAATTATTAAGGCAACACAAGTTGCATTCTTTTTGTGTAGGTGGACCAATTGTAATCATCATGTTCTCCATGGAGTTAAAAAGTTCCACATTGTGTGATCACGATAATTTGATCCGAATTTATAGACATCCTGTTTAACATTTGATATCTTGCTGTTCGGTGTACCATCACTTTCTTGCTTGCAGTTGAAAATTTGGTTGTGTTATGTTCAAATAAGAAGCCAGTTTTTTATCTATTTGTTTTTCGTCGGTAGTCCTTGTTAGTATTGAACTATCCATTGATGGCTGATGCAATTTACACTACTTTTATGACCATGAAGTTGTGGAGAAGATTCTAAGAGCTGTAAACTAACAATTTACTGTCACTAATAGTTTCTTAAGAAAAAAAAAATGATAGAATTCTATGGCCAGAAAGAAAAAAAGGAAAATGATCACTTATTTGGTGACCTCTTAGTTTTCTCTATCAAGAAAAACCCAAGCAAGGACACCAAAGAAAAGACAGAGAAGCAAACAGAAGCAATGTCGAGGGAAAGATGGCGACCGCCGATTGCTTGGATTTCAAACAGGTTGATGCTCTTCTTAGCATGAGTGGTTTGGCCATAAGCAACCTCTTTGCCTGCAGAATTATAAGCATAGGCTCTCACAAAATAAGTAGCAGTGGGCACTTCTTTCGCTATGCTCCATTCAATGCTTTGTTTTCTTTCATAAGGTTTGTTAACAATGGTAAATTGGCAGGTCTTGTCCTTGTCCATGTTGTCCACAGTTTTCCTCCATGACCGGTCGACTTGGCTGATAGGCGCATAGCAGAGCTTCACCTTCACATCCTTGTATGACTCATCTGTTCCTGCTGCAAAACTCTGGTTCAACCACCATGTCACATTTATGTTGTCCTCTCCAGCTTTTAGGACTGCACCAAATGAGGAAATCACATTACTTCTGATAATATTTAGAGTAAAAATCAATTTAGGAAAATTCAATTACAAGTGCAAGGGCCTTTAATGAGTGGGATTGGACCGAATGAGTGTCACAAATCAGATAAGATCTTATTTCATTGACAGCATGTCACAAATCAGTTAAATCTTATCGTGTTGAATTAACAGACTTTTAAAAAACAGTGATATTACGTTATTCCACCGACATGATGTCACATATCAGATAAGATCTTATTTTCACCGACAGCTTATCACAAATCAATTAAATCTTATCATCCTGAATTGGGGAAAAAAACACATGTTCAACCACTTACTTCTCTACTTTCTCATGGATTCTCAGGCTGAAATTTATGAGTATGATGTTTTAAATTCTAAAAGTTTGAATAAAGGCTTAAAATTTTGAGCCCCTTGAACCTAAGAAAACAAAATCCAAAGAAAACACAGGTGGAGTTTTGTATGGAAGAAGTGAGAGGATTGTGTAAATGAGAAGATTACCTTGGCCTTGTTTAGGAGAGGCACTGACTACAAGAGTTTGTGGGAGAGAGGAAAACAGAACACCTCCATAGCAAGTCCTTGCTAAGCAAAATAAAATTAGAAAAGTTGAGGAAAAATGAGATTTCATTGGAACTGTTTATCTGAGCAAAGGAAGTTAAAAAAACTTTGAGATACGTTGGACTACTGAAAAAAGAAAGAGAGGGTGATCTTTGTAATATTTCACGCAAAGTGGTTCCAAAGTCAAATGTCCACTCTCCCACAGCCTTTTATGACTGATAGAACAAGTGGTGTTTGACATTTCAGATTTTTAGATTAAACTATAAACATTATCAGAACTTTTTGGCAGACAAACCAAACATATTATTGCCTCATTGGTATATTTATTTATTTATTATTATTTTTTTTTCCAAACTTTCTTGAAAGTAACACCATATATTTCTTATTGCCCAATTTGCTAACTTCCTTTTGATAACTTGACACTTAAGTTCATAAACTTTAATGTAACCACTCACTCCACCACATAATATGAAATTGTCTTCTTTGCGCCTGAGTTTGTATGATTTTACTCTTAAATTTTATCTCAAAAAGTCTCATACAAATTGAAGTGACACAACTACATATAAGCACTTCACATTTCCCTTTCTCATATAATTTGGGATTGTGCACCCGTAACTCGCCAGTGTGGTAACATGTCAGTGTCTCGTACCAGCCCACGATACACCCGCTCACAGGGTCATCACAATCCACCCCCTTGGAGGCCCGACGTCCTCGTCGGCACACTTCCGGCTGGGTCAGGTTCTGATATCATTTGTAACAACTCACTCCACCACATGGTATGATATTGTCCGTTTTGGGCCTGAGCACGCACGGTTTTGTTCTTGGACTTTACCCCAAAAGGTCTCATACCAATTGAAGTGACACACCTACATAAAAACACTTCACTTTTCCTTTTCCCAGGCGATATGGGATTGTACACCCGTAGCTCGCTAGTGTGGTAGCCCGTCAGTGTCTCGCATCAACTCACGGCACTCGCACCCACCCACGGCACTCCCGCCCACAGAGTCATCATAATCCACCCCCCTTGGAGGCTCGATGTCCTCGTCGGCACACTTCTGGCTAGGTCAGGCTTTGATACCATTTGTAACGACCTATTCTACCATATGGTATGATATTGTCTGCTTTGGGCCTGAGTCCGCACAGTTTTGCTCTTGGGCTTTATCCCAAAAAGCCTCATACCAATTGGAGTAACACACCTACATATAAGCACTTCACCTTTCCTTTACCCAGGCGATGTGGGATTGTGCACCCGTAACTCGCCAATGTGGTAGCCTGACAGTGTTTCGCACCCGCCCACAGGGTCATCACATGATGTGTCTAAACAACCAATAAAATCATGACAACACAACAACTTATCTCAACATGTACCTTATCACTTTATTAGTTGACCAAACAAAGCCTTACAGTCCATATAATTTAGCACCAAATATGCCTGATTATAGCGTCAAACATGCCTGATTTCACCTAAGCATTAATAGAAACAACTGCTGTTCTATTCACGGAAACTTCAGTGCTCACTTTGGGTTTGTTCATCCTTACCAAGCACAATCCAAACACAGTCCTTGGTCGTCGGTTTAGCAATGATGTCCTGTCCGTTATGGAGTTCTTTCTGCATCCCGCCTACAATCAATCTACAATTTATAAGGATTTTGTAAATGGCATTGAAATGTATTTTATTAGCAACTCTGTTTCGAGTCGTGACAGGTAGTCACGTGCCATGACAAAAAAAGTCATCACACCAAATGCTTTTAATAACAATAATGATCCACTATAATCATTCAATGCCCTACTGCTAACCTTGATGAAAAGGGAGATGTGATCGGGATAGCCTTGTGCGAGAACAACTACATCAATCATGATCTTAATCTTTAGACTTTAGGTAATATCCAACGTGATTTTAACCTAACAAGTATTAATTGAAAGTCTGAAAATAATAAATATTTGAGTGAATCAATTAAGGAAAAGTCAATTACTAACTATTTTGGATCCATTGACAAGCCTATAAAGGCCTTTTATGAGTAACATTGGCATTAGAGTAAATAAATATTCAATGCAACCGTGATACCACATTATTTCACCAAGATAATATATTAATTTAGTGATAATGTGTCATAAATGAATTAAATATTATCTTGTTAAATAAAAAAATATTTAATGTAAAATCGATACCACATTATTTCACTAACTTAGTATCACAAATCATATAAGATATTATTTCACCAATAGTGTGTCACAAATCAGATAAGATATTATTTTATCGATAACATGTCACAAATCAATTAAATAATTCGAAAATATTTTATGCAATAGTGATACCACAATATTTACAATCACTGGAACACCTTGAAGAATTTTAGAATGGTCAGATAAGAAGTTTAAGCTCGTTTAAAGCACTTAAAGGTTAAGTCTGACCAAAGGAACTAGTGATCAAATGTCACGACAAAGAAAGTTAATAAATGCCCAATGTATTTAATAAGGGTAAAATGCATATAACCACCCTAAATTTTCAGCTAAAAGCATAAAAACCCCCTAAACTAAGTATACCCCCTGAACTATTTAAAATCTAAAAATTAAGGACAAATTAAATATAGCTGGCACCAGAACTGATCAGAAACATTAGATTACTAGTTTGCCCTTTAGTAAAACGACAATATTTTGGTGTTTAATTGGTTTATGTTACTGACGTGTCTGAACAACCAATAAAATCATGACAACACAATACCTTATCTCAACATATACCTTATCACTTTATTTGTTGACCAAACAAAGCCTTACAGTCCACATAATTTAGTGCCAAACATGTTGATTTCAGCTAATCATTAATGGAAACAACCGCTGTTCTCATTCACGGAAACTTCAGTGCTCACCTTGGGTTTGTTCATCCTTGCCGAGCACAGTCCAAACACACTCCTTGGTCGTCGATTTAGCACTGATGTCCTCTCCGTCGTGGTGTTCTCTCTGCGTCTTGCCTATAATCAATCTACAATTTATAAGGATTTTGTAAATGGCATCGAAATGTATTTTATTAGTAATTATATTTCGGGTCGTGACAGGTAGTCACGTGCCACGACAGAAAAAGTAACCATCACACTAAATGATTTTAATAATAATAATGATCCACTATAATCATTCAATGCATTACTGCTAACCTCGATGAAAAATGAGATGTTATCAGGATAGCCTTGTGCGAGCCCTGTGCGAGAACGACTAAATCAATCATGATCTTGATTTTTAGATTTTAGGTAATACCCGACGTGATTTTGACCTAACAGGTATTAACCGAAAGTCCAAAGAAAATAATTGTTTGAGTGAATCAATTAAGGAAAAGTCAATTACTAACTATTTTGAATCCATTGTCAAGCCTATAAAGGCCTTTTATGAGTATCATTGACATTAGAGTAAATAAATATTCAATGCAACCGTAATACCACATTATTTCACTAAGAAAATATATTAATTCAGTGATAGTGTGTCATAAATCAATTAAATATTATCTTGTTAAACAAAAAAATATTTAATGTAATATCGATATCACATTATTTCACTAACTTAGTGTCACAAATCAAATAAGATATTATTTCACCAATAGTGTGTCACAAATCAGATAAGATATTATTTTATCGATAATATGTCACAAATTAATTAAATAATTCGAAAATATTTTCATGCAATAGTGATACCACAATATGTATAATCACTGGAATACCTTGAAGGATTTTAGAATTGTCAAATAAGAAGTTTAAGCTCGTTTAAAGCACTCAAAGACTAAGTCTGACCAAAGGAACTATAGATCAACTGCCACGACAAAGAAAGTTAGCAACATGCCGAATGTATTTAATAAGGGTAAAGTGCATATAACCCCTCTAAAATTTCAGCTAAAAGCACAAAACCCCCCTAAACTAAGTATACCCCCTGAATTATTTAAAATCTACAAATTAAATATGGGTGGCACCGGAGCTGATCAGAAACATTAGATTACTAGTTTGCCCTTTAGTAAAACGACACTGTTTTGGTGTTTAATTGACTTATGTTGCTGAAGTGTCTGAACAACTAATAAAGTCATGACAACACAATACCTTATCTCAACATATACCTTATCACTTTATTAGTTGACTAAACAAAGCCTTACAGTCCACATAATTTAGCGCCAAACATGCTTGATTTTAGCACCAAACATGCCTGATTTCACTGCCAAACATGCCTTATTTCACCTAAGCATTAATGGAAACAACCATTGTTCTCATTCGCGGAAACTTCAGTGCTCACCTTGGGTTTGTTCATTCATGTCGAGTAAAGTCCAAACATAGTCCTTGGTCGTTGGTTTAGCACTGATGTCCTCTCCGTCGTAGAGTTCTCTCTGCGTCCCGCCTATAATCAATCTACAATTTATAAGGATTTTGTAAATGACATCGAAATGTATTTTATTAGTAATTCTATATCGGGTCGTGACAGGTAGTCATGTGCTATGACAAAAAAGTCAACATCACACCAAATGCTTTTAATAATAATAATGATCCACTATAATCATTCAATGAGCTACTGCTAACCTCGATGAAAAGGGAGATGTGATCGGGATAGCTTTGTGCGAGAATAACAAAATCAATCATGATCTTAATCTTTAGAGTTTAGGTAATATCTGACGTAATTTTGACCTAACAGATATTAACCGAGAGTCCGAAGATAATAAATATTTGAGTGAATCAATTAAGAAAAAAGTCAATTACTAACTATTTTGGATCGATTGACAAGCCTATAAAGGCCTTTTATGAATAACATTGACATTAGAGTAAATAAATATTCAATGCAACCGTGATACCACATTATTTCACGAAGATAATATATTAATTCAGTGATAGTGTGTCATAAATCAATTAAATATTATCTTGTTGAACAAAACAATATTTAATGTAATATTAATATCTATTGTCTATTATATCGGACAGGGATTCGAGCTTTGTATCTGGATTTTGGAAGAGTTTTCAGCAGGCTTTAGGTACGAAGTTACACCTTAGTACTGCTTATCATCCTTAGACTAACGGACAGACTGAGAGGGTGAATCAGATTATGGAAGATATGCTTCGGTCGTGTGTTCTGGATTTCAAGGGCCACTGGGAGGAATATTTGCCACTTGTGGAGTTTGCTTATAACAATAGTTTCCAGAAGACTATTGGGATGGCACCTTTTGAGGCGTTATACGGTCGAC